TTCTTCTTCTTCTTCTTCTTCTTCTTCTTCTTCTTCTTCTTCTTCTTTTTTCTTCTTCTTCTTCTTCTTTCTTCTTCTTCTTCTTCTTCTTCTTCTTCTTCTTCTTCTTCTTCTTCTTCTTCTTCTTCTTCTTCTTCTTCTTCTTCTTCTTCTTTTTTCTTCTTCTTCTTCTTCTTTCTTCTTCTTCTTCTTCTTCTTCTTCTTCTTCTTCTTCTTCTTCTTCTTCTTCTTCTTCTTCTTCTTCTTCTTCTTCTTCTTCTTTTTTCTTCTTCTTCTTCTTCTTTCTTCTTCTTCTTCTTCTTCTTCTTCTTCTTCTTCTTCTTCTTCTTCTTCTTCTTCTTGTGCCCTACCCGTCATCGGACATTGGCAATTGTGCTGGCGATCCTATTTTTATCAACAGCTGCATGAAAAAGGGCTGCTGAGTTTTTGTCCCTTAGATTTTGAAGCCCTGATCTTCTTCTTCTGCCTGGACCTCATTTGCCATCCATTTTTCCCTGGAGGATTAAGTGAAGGACGCCCTATTTTTCTGGGTGTTGCATCACATGTCCGAAATAGTCTTAACTTGAGCTTTTTAATGGTCTTGATGATTCCCCTTGGCTTTCCCAGGCAGCTTATCACCTCCTCGTTTCTGATTTTGTCAGCCCAACTTGTACGTAACAACCTCCTGTAAATCCACGTTGCAAACACTTCTCACCCCTTCGGGGGGCTTTCTGACAGAGACCAACTCTCCCCTCCGTAGAGCAGGGTAGAAAAGATGGAGCACCTGACAAGCCTGATTTTCAGTCTCAGGCCCAGATCCGGACTGCAGAAGAACTCTTTCACTGGGAAGGATGCAGTCGGAGCTTTCTTGTCCTTATTTCAGTGGGTAAATTAAACAGGTTTCAAATTAAACCAACATCTTGTTTTTTGAGGTGTTGAGCTTCAAGCCATATTTTTCAATACCTTTAAAAAAATCAAACTCAGAATAACTCAGGGATACAATCAAGATCAGGGGAGGTACTGATACCACTCTATAAAGCCTTAGTAAGGCCACACCTAGAATCCTGCATCCAATTTTGAGCACCACACTATAAAAAAGATGTTGAGACTCTAGAACGAGTGCAGAGAAGAACAATCAGGTGATTAGGGGATTGGAGGCTAAAACATACGATGAGCAGTTTCAGGAACTGGTCATGGCTCGTCTAGGGAAGAGAAGGACCAGGGGAGACAGGAGAGCAGCCTTCCAATATCTGAGGGGCTGCCCCAGAGAGGAGGAGGAGGGGGTCAAGCTATTTTCCAAGGCACCCAAAGGCCAGATAAGGAATAATGGATGGAAACTGAACAAGGAGAGATTCAACCTAGGAATAAGGAGGAATTTTCTGACCGTGAGAGCAATCAACCCAAGTAACAGAAGTTGTAGGAGCTTCATCCCTGGAGGCTTTCCAGAAGAGATTGGACTGCTCTCTGTCAGAAATGGTATAGGGTCTCCTGCTTGGGTAGGAGGGTTGGACTGGATGACCTACAAGGTCCCTTCCAACTCTGTTAATCTGTAAATCTGTAAACCAAAGGGAAAAAACAAGGAAGGCCCAGGTGCAAAGCAACTCCCATGACTCGGCTCCTCCTGAGGGCCTCTAGTCTCATCCACCAGGCATTGGAGAAGACCACTGTCAATTTTGGCAAGGATCCTGCCAATCATATCGGCTGCGCATTGCTCATATTGGGAGAGGATAATATCTGTGGCTAAAATTCCCAGCTCACAAGAGAATTAGCCCTTTAGAGTAGGGCTCTCCAACCTTGGCAACTTCGAGGCTTGTGGACTTCAACTCCCAGAATTCCCCAGTCAGCATGGCTGGCTGAGAAATTCTGGGGGTTGAAGTCCACAAGTCTTAAGGTTGCCAAGTTTGGGAAGCCCAGCTTTGGAGAACAGGTGGGCTGGGCTAAGCATCCTGAATTCAAGATTTTGATGTGGCAAAATGTCCCTCGAACCTCAGAATTGCCAAGGGCTGGATTGAGACTTCCGCCAAAACCTGTTTCTTGAATAATGTATCACTCTTGAGAAATCGGGGATAAAAGGAACAACGACCCCAAGTTTCTGTTGCTAAAGCGACATTTGTAAAGTGAGTTTTGCCGCATTTTACAACTTTTCTTGCCGCTGTTGTTAAGTGAATCACTGCCATTGTCAAATTAGTCACACCGTTGTTAAGTGAATCCAGATTCCCCATGGACTTTGCTGGTCCAAAGGTCGTAAAAGGGGATCACATGTGATCCCAGGACACCGCCAAAGTCATGAGTCTGAGTGTTGATGCCATGACTGTGGGGGGGTTCTGCAACGCAAGTGTGAACTTTCTCATATCCCTGATGATGATGTGGGTGTCATCGTTGCCTCTCACTTTGGCGGCTAAAGCCTCTCCAGGTGGTTTTTCCTTTGCAAAACTGAGGACTAGGATACTGATAAGCATGCTGGAATTCTCTGGAATTAAAAGGGGTGAACCTGTGGTGACAGCAAAGCGGGCCGGAGTCCCCATTCTTGTTCTGACTTCACGAAATCCCGAAGCAGATTCCTCGGCCCGACAAAACCCCTTTTTAATAGGCTAATGTGAATTCCTGTCATTCACATCCAGCAAAGTCCCAGCAAACAGTCTTTCAAGGGTGAATTTACAACCACAGACCTTATCAGGCTTGGAGAGCTGCCAGGCCGGTAGCTTCCAAGCGCAACGCTGTAGCAGAAAATACTTGGCAGGGAGTCCCAAACAAAACTTCACCCTAATTAAACGAACTAATTGTCTCCTGGAAACCCCACTCCCCTTTCCCTCCTCTTTATTCCCTGTGGGAGGGGCCATTCACCATCCACCAAAGCCCTTACTCCCAAATCGGCCCTCGTTCCTTAACGGTTCCCTTCTTCTGGCAGCTCTGCATTTGCACACATTGGGAACAGGCTCCAGCTGTTCTTCTGCCCCACTGATCTCCGACTCCGAAGTCAGCTGATAACTGTCGGACGGCCCTGGCCCCATCTCTGCCTCCAACACAGAGCCCTCGTCAGAGCCTTCCCCAGACTCCAGGTCTGGCCCATGTTCCTCCCCAACCTCCTCACTATCCGAGTCTGCCGCCAGCTCTTCTGGCCACTGGCGGGCCACAATAATTCTGCCTTTGGATGGCCGGCCCTCAGTCAGAGCTTCTCATAGGATCTGAGCTCCTAATTTCTCCTCTCCTGTCCTGTTATTTTGGCAACCACTATGGAGCCGAGGAATTTGACTCAATCCCAGCTCCACCGCAACCCTTTTGTAGCAAATAACAGGCTTTTCACAAAGGGGCCTGTAATGCTTAAAGAATTCTTGGGCCACACATGCCTGACTTTGAGAGAAAAAGAAACACCATAATTAACAGACAGAAGATGTTCCTACCAGTGGAAATTAACTCCTGCAGTCATGGAGGCTCGCTTCGCACAAGACGAAACCCCTAGGACTGCTTTGGCACATGTCGGAGGGCTACGTGTGACCAGGAAAAGAGTCCCCTCTCTGTGGGAAGAAATTTTCCCTCTCCAACTCTGCTTCCCTCACTCTCTAGTTCAGGGGTCTCCAACCCTGGCAACTTTAAGACTTGTGGACATCAACTCCCAGAGTTCTTCAGCCAGCAACTCTGAGAGTTGACGTCCACAACTCTTAAAGTTGGAGACCCTTGCTCTAGTTGACCCCAGCTCAGGGATGGGATTCTACCAGTTCAGCCTGGTTCGAGTGAACCGGTAGTTCCGAGGATCAGCTGGGAGTGAACCAGTTCAGTTTGCTCTGACAATCAGCTGTTGGGCTCACCTACCGCACGTCAGCTGTTTAACACACAGGGATTGCTGGAGAAGGTCAGTAGCAAACGCTCCGCGCACATGTAAAGCGCACGCTGACCGATCCGGTTGTTACACCAGTTGAATCTCACCCCTGCCCCAGCTCGCTGTCGCAACTCCTTGCCTCAGGGGTGTCTTCCCTTCCCTGGTTTCCAGCCAGCGTACAAAAGACAAACAAACACAAATACACGCACCCTTCAAACTCACTTTCGGATCCTGGCATGACAGCCAGCCGCTCCCTCGGCTTTAAGAGCTGCTGGGTTCCTCTCGAAATGGGCTGTCCCCACCAATACACCATTTCCTATGCTAACCCTGGTTAGTTTGTAGTTGGCTTGTTGGTCTTCTGGCTTACGGTGTCATGTGACTGGAGCGTTCGGTTAGCTTTTTTAAAAAACAAAGGCCTATTGTGTCCTTCCAAGTAACGAGTTAATGTAATAACAGAGTTAACTCTATTGGGCAAATATGCATGATATCCGTGAGTGAAGAAACTCCAAACCTCCCCAAATGCTTTTGGTACAAAAAGCCACACATATTTCTCAACAACAACAAAAACTCCCTTCCAAAAAATCATAATCTAGCGGCCTCCAATTTGGCACCGGAGTTGGGAGAAGGATTATGCCTTCAGCTGTAACAGTCAGGAGGGCTCTTTAGGGAAATGTGTAGCTGACTCAGACTCAATATTGGGGGAAAAAAAGTTTGCTAATCTTGATTTTTTTTTAAAAACCCACTAAAAGTCTGCTCAGCATCATGAACTCAGTTGAGACTGTTTAATTTTGTCTCAAATTTTGCATACCAATTCCATCTTTTTTAAAAAAACAAAGTCCTAAAACCTTTCACCATCACACTATACAAATAAAAGGAGTTTCTTTCTGCTTCCTTGACGCAGGACCTATTGGCCTGAAGAGCATCCCTGGGTGGTAGGAAAGGATGAGGTTGTGTGTGAGTCTTTGTGACATCCATGTTCTGACTGAGGCTTCCCAAGACCATGAAGCCGACTCCCCGTCCCGATAAAACCCCTTTTATTTAGATTAAAGGGAATTCCTCTCCAGCAAAGTCCCAGCAAACAGTCTTGCAAGAGTTTTCACAACTACAGACCTTGATCAGACTTGGAGAGTTGCCAGGCTGATAGCTTCCAAATGCCATGCTGTAACAGCAATTACTTGGCAAGAAGTCAGAAACAGATGTTCACCCTAATGAATTGAACTAGTTGTCTCCTGCAAAACCTCAGTCCTCTTTCGCTCCTCTTTATTCCCTAGGGGAGGGCCATTCAGCGTCCACCTGAGCCTTTACTCCCAAGTAGAACCTTGTTCCTTAGCTGTTCCCTTCTCCTGGCAGCTCTGTGCACGCGCACATTGGAAACAGGCTCCAGCTGTTCTTCTGCCCCACTGATCTCTAACTTCAAAGGCAGCTGATAACTGACGGGCGGCCCTGGCCCCATCTCTGCCTCTGAGGCAGAGCCCTTGTCAGAGCCTTCCCCAGCCTCCAGGACTGGCCCATGTTCCTCCACAACAATCCAGGGTGAAACCAAGTGGTCTGCAGCTTTTTGCACCCTAACCCTAAATTTGGAGACAGTGCATCTGCATCTGGGGGAAGTCAGAAAAATCTGAGTGCAGCCCTCCCAGCACATATAGGATGGGGGGGGGGGGAGGCCTTTGGCTGCCCAGGTGGGCCCATATTCTTGCTTCTCCCTCCATCCTGCTGGGATACCTCAGCTTCCAAGGACTTCCCCTTGCTAAAAGGAAGGAAGCAGCCCTGCTCATACATTTTTAAATTCTGCCTGGGCCACAGCTTCACCCTAAGCTACATGCCAATCATTTGAACATCGGTCATTAAGTAACAGCTGAAAGGAACTTCTCTTTCCTTGTTGTAAAATGAAATAAAATCCCATCCTGAGCACAGACTGTATTCTGTACACTCAGTGCTTAAAAAGCATGTTGGACACAAATCCCTCCTTTCGTGTAGGTTGCTCTGTCACACTCGCTTGGTGTGAACAGTTCTCCCAGGGCTAGAAGGAGGAAGCCCAGTGGCGAGCAATCTCCAAGGATTGCTGGAGAATTTTCAGATTTCGTTTCTCAGGAGGTTGTCCTCGAAGGGAGCTGAAATTCTTAGGAAAGCTAGCAGTGTATTTTCTAAGGCTTTTCTCTGCTGCTGCAGCATTCTGACAATAGGTCTTTTGCGATGCCTCCTGAAAAGATTAACAGATTAACAGAGTTGGAAGGGACCTTGTAGGTCATCCAGTCCAACCCCCTGCCCAAGCAGACCTTACAATATTTCTGACAGATGGCAGCCCAGTCTCTTCTGGATGAAACTCCACAACTTCTGAAGGCAACTTCTGTTCCATGGGATGATTGTTCTGTCAGAAAATATCTCCTTATTTCCAGGTTGAATCTCTCCTTGATCGGTTTCTATCCCTTTTCTGGCCTTTGGTGTTTTGGAAAACAGCTTGACCCCTTCCTCCTCCTCTCTGTGGCAGCCCCTCAAATATTGGAAGATGCTCTCCTGTCTCCCCTAGTCTTCTCTTCACTAGACCAGCCATGCCCAGTTCCTGCATCCGTTCATCGCATGTTTTTGCCTCCAGTCCCCGCATCCTCCTGGTTGCTCTTCCCTGCACATATTCTAGAGTCTCAACCTCTTTTTCATAGTGTGGTGACCAAAAGGACTCAGCTGTCTCCATTGATCAGCTGGGCGTGACTCAGCTATGGAGGGTTAGGGCTAGAGAGTCTCGACGTCTTTTTTAGTTCTTTGTTAAAAAACAGACAAAGGCTTGGAGGGGAGCAATTTTGGGGATGGGTGGATGAAGTGGGGTGTGTATGTGTGTGTGTGTGTGAGAGAGAGAGAGAGAGAGAGAGATTACGTTGCCTATAGAAATGGGGACGTTCTAGAAAGGGACGTTTTTTTCGCTGCTTCTTTGCAGCTGCCTTGATCTCTCTCACACACACACCCGCTCCCCTGACGGCTCTCCCTCCCTTCCCTCCGCAGAGAGCGACCACAAGGAGCGCGCCTCGGCCCCGAGCAGCACCCTGGAGAAGGCCCCGCAGCCGCTGCGCAAGGGCCCGGCGGTGGCGGCCGCGGCGGCGGCGGCGGCGGCGGCGGAGGAGGCGGGCGAGTACACCGTCCTGAAGGAGAGCCCCCCGGGCCCGGCAGACGGCGGCGAGGCGCCCCTGCTCAAGTCCTCGGACAGCGAGCGCTCTTCCTGCGGCTCCGGCTCGGTCAGCGGCGCGCTCTACGCCCGCATCGCGCGCCTCTCCAAGCAGTCCCGGGAGGAGGAGGAGGAGGCGGCCCCGGCGGCCAAGCCCCCGTCCCCGGAGCGGGCCAAGCCGCCCCCGCCGGACCCCTCCACCAAGCCCAAAGTCTCCTGGATCCACCACAAGTACAACGCGGCCCAGAGCAACTCCCTGCCGGCCGCGGGCGAGCTGCAAGCGGAGCGCCGGCCCGGCCCCTCCAAGCGCAAGAGGAGCCCCGGCGAGGCGGCGAGGGCCAAGGAGAGGGCCCCCAAGCCCCCGCAGGAGCCCGGCAGCCCCGAGGGCCCGCCCTGCCCCGCTCAGGCCAGGCAGCGGAGCCGGACCGGGCCGGAGCCCGCGGAGAACCTCAACGGCGCCCTGCACGCCGCGGTCAAGAGGATGGGGGGCCCGGCGGCGGAGAGGCGGCCGGCCGAGGCGCCCCGGAGCCCCGCGCAGCCCAAAGCGCCGCCCGGCTTCTCCGAAGCCGCCACGCTGCTGGCCGCGCAGCTGAAGGAAAAGACCCAGAGCCTCCAGCGGGGCGAGGCGGGGGCGCGGCCCAACGGCATGAGCCCCCTCCCGGCCCAGCGGGAGAAGCCGGCGCCCCCGCAGAAGGGCAAGCAGGCGGGCGCCGCCCCCGCCGGGCAGAAGGCCGGCAAGCCCCTGCTGCCCACCTCCGCCCCGCTGCAGAAACTGCTGGGGCCCGACGCCGCCGCCGACGAGCCCAAGAGCGGGGAGAAGCAGACCGCAGCGGGCGGCGGCCCCGAGCCGACCCCGGCGCCCGCAGAGCCCGCGCCCAAGAAAACGCCCATCAAGAAGCCGCCGCGCAAGAAGGGCCGGGAGGGGCCCGCCGAGCCGCCCAAGGGAGCCGCCCCCCCGCCGCAGACTGTGCAATAGGGGAGGGGGAGGCCGGGCCTGTCCCGGGGCCGGCGGAGACCCCGCCCCACGGAGATCCACGGCCTCTCTTTGGATGGCCGCCCCCCGGGACGGGTCGCGAGGCTTTGGGGGACCCAGCGCTGGCGCTGGGCTCTGGCGGGGGGGCAGGAGGGGGCTTTCTTTAAACCGCCGTTGTAAGTGCATAGATCCGCTTCTCGACCTCGACGGAGACGCTCGCGGGCCTGGGGAAGGGGGCCTTGGGGTGGGTTCCGGGCAGGGAGGGGGCTGAGGCTGGGCTGTGTGGGGGTCAGCAGGACTGGGCCTTTTCTTGGAGGAGGGGTAGCTGCCTTCCCTCTGGGGGCCCACAGTTCCTGGGAAGCCAGGGCAGACTCTGCAGGGAGAGGGAAGGGGCTGCTGCCGGCTGACCTGCAGGCTGTGATCAGAAGAGACCTGGTCTGGGCTCAGTTCCCCAGGCGCTTCGACTGCCTCCCACCAGCCTCCTGGAATACCCCATGCAGCAGCCTCCATCCTCCTCTTCCTCCTCCTCCTCTTGGGAGCCAGGTGGGGGCAGCAGGGAAGAGGCTTGAAAGGCCAGCATGGCTCCATCTGGTGTTTCCTTCCTCAAATAAAAGGATGGTATTTCTAGCTCTGCCTTTGGACTCCTTTTCCCGGTGAACCATTTGTCCCTCCCAGGTCCAGCTTTCCCTCCTTAAGGTCCAGGGGCTCAGGGTGAATTCAGCTGCCCAGAAGGAAGTCAGTCTCCCCTTCTTGGATTTCTCAGGTGGGTTTCCTGGGGGTCTCCCATGCAAGAATTAACTAGGGGCCACCCTGTCCCAGCCCACAAGGTAGCAATAGCACTTAGACTGATAATACCGCTTCCCAATGTTTCCAGCCCTCTCTAAGCGGTTTACAGAGTCAGCCTCTTGCCCCCAACCCTCTGGGTCCTCATTTTACCCACCTCAGAAGGATGGAAGGCTGAGTCAACCTGGAGCCACTTAGAATCGAACTGCTGGCAGTGGGCAGAGGAAGAAAGGAAAGGAGGGAGGGAGGGAGGGAGGGAGGGAGGGAGGGCGGGCAATAGCAATAAAGACTTACACACCACTTCACATCGTTTTAACAGCCCTCTCTAAGTGGTTTACAGAGTCGGCCTCTTGCCCCCCCAACAATGTGGGCTTTTACCCACCTCGGAAGGATGGAAGGCTGAGTCAACCTTGAGCCTGGTGGGATTCGAACTGCCAAATTACAGGCAGTCAGCAGGCTGCAGAAGTAGCTTGCAGTACTGCACTCTAACCACTGTGCCACAGTGGCCCTTAGATGCGGGACTTGGCACCCTGGGAGAACCTTCTGGCTTGGGGTCAGCACTAGGTGTCTTCCCTCCCGTTCTCCAGATCAGCCTTCTGTTGCCCTCCAGAGCCACCCCCAGAATTGCCACCCCAAAGACATTCTTATCAGGACAAGGCATCTGGAAGACGGGGGAAAGCGGACTGTGGCTGGTGGCTGGGTGGGTTGCTGGCCCATCCATTTCCTGTAATTCTCCAGAGGAACATTGTGCCAGGGGATTATGGGAAATTTCAAAGAGCAACTGAAGTTCTTCCCACCCCAAAAATGTTTCCAGCTTGGATAAAGCCTTAGTAAGGCCACACCTGGAATGTTGCATCCAGTTTTGGTCACCATATTACAAAAAGAGAATGCTGAGATTTTGGGAAAAGTGCAGAGAGGAGCAACTAAGATGATCAAAGGCCTGGAGACTAAAACATGAAGAACAATTGCAGGATTTGGGTTTGGCCCGTCTAGAGAAAAGGAGGACAAGCGGGGACGTGGTAGCACCCTTCCAGTATTTGAGGGGCTGCCACAAAGCAGGGGGGGTCAAATTATTCTCAAAGCACCCGAAGGCAAGAAAAGGAGCAATGGATGGAAACTAGCGAAGGAGCGAAGCAACCTAGAGGATTAAGGAGGAATTTCCTGACAGTGAGGACAATTAACCAGGGGAACAAATTCTCTCCAGAAGTTGTGAATTCTCCAACACTGGAAGTTTTTAAGACTGGATCACCATTTGTCTGGAATGGGAGAGGGCTGTGAGGGTGAACCTATGCCACGAGTGCCAGAGGTGGCAGGCAGAGCCCTCTCAGTGGGCACGCTCACCATTGCCAGCTGCTCTTCTGGATTCTGGTGCACACATGTGCTCCAGCCAGCTGGTCTTTGTGGGTGCTGGAGTGTTGGAAAATGGCCCGGAAAACAGCCCTCAAAACAGCCTGAAAATGGCCTGAAAACCAGCCCCAGAAACAGCCCCAAAACAGGCAGGCATGTGGTCTTCGGTTTTCCGGTGCTCCGGCACACACACACGCACGTGTGTTCTAGTTTGGGCACAGGGTGGCGAAAAGGTTCCCCCTCGCTGGGATAGGGTTTCCTGCCGAAGCAGGGAGATTGACTAGAAGACCTCCAAGGTCCCTTCCAGCTCTATTCTGATTGATTGAGGGATTGGTTGATTAAATTGCAAATGTTCACTGCTGCAGCTGGTGAACTTGTAGCTTCCAGCCGAGTCGGAACTCTTGAACCAAACTCATTTTAATTTCTTTTATATTGAAGCGCGCTCGATGCTTAGTGGGACATGTTGGGCTTCCAGCAACCGGCTTCCCAGCTGGCAATGAGCACTGCAGCCCCTGGGCCAAAGGGCAGCTGGACGAACCTTCCTCCTCCACCTGTTGTTTAAGGAAAGGGCTGGAATCTGTGCTGCGTTCAGTAGCCCCAGGGAGCTTCTGTAAGTTGAACAATACTGGGAGGGGGCTCCATGTAGCACTTAGCACTTGGACATGTGCTTTTCAGCCCTCTCTAAGCGGTTTACAGAGTCAGCCTCTTGCCCCCAACAATCTGGGTCCTCACCCACTTTGGAAGGATGGAAGGCTGAGTCAACCTTGAGCCTGGTGGGATTTGAACTGCCAAATTTCAGGCAGCCGGCAGTCAGCAGAAGTAGTCTGCAGTACTGCACTCTAACCATTGCACCACCGAGGCTCATATGCTGCATAAAACCAAGCCACAACGCAAGGAACAATATCTACCTATGGAAATTGTCAGTCATCCAGGTCACGGTTATACAAAGGATGCTTTTCGAAAGGGACCTGGGCTTTCTTTGTTTTTTTCGCTTCTCATTCAAGGAGCTTTTTCGGTTCTGAAGAAGTCAGGACTGAAGATGCTTCTTGGATGAGAAGCAAAATGCCTTGAAGGAAAAAAAAAACAAGGTCCATTTGCCTTTAGAAAAGCACCTTTTGGACAAGGAACACTATAATTTAAAAACCAGTCCAATGAGAAACAATCACAGCCGGTAAAGATACAGGCTGTGCTGTAGTGTTTAATCACCAAAAGTCATCCAGAAAAGCTACCTCTTAACGTCCTCATTTTTATTAGCACCAGCGCATTTCTAACCTGCCACAGCCAACCTTCTCTGGGTGGTTTAAATGTCATTAAAACATTTACATTTTGTTTTGGAAAAGGAAAGAGCAGGTGTTTGGTTGCAACTGTGACATGCTATGACTTGGGAAGAAGAACATCTCTCCAAGGATTGCCAAGGCAAGGCAGAACCATTGCTTGACCTCCAACTGGAGGAAATGAGGAGAAAGGCCTGGGAGAAGGAGGCGGCAGCTTTCTTCGGCTGGTTAAGTTGCTGGGAGAAGAGCAAGGCTACTTTCAATAGCCCTTAGACTTAGATGCTGCTTCACAGTCTTTTATAGCCCTCTCTAAGCGGTTTACAGAGTCAGCCTCTTGCCCCCAACAGTCTGGGCCCTCATTTCACCATCTCAGACGGAGGGAAGGCTGAGTCAAGATCGAACTGTTGGCAGTGGGCAGAGCTTGCCTGCAATACTGCATTCTAAACACTGTGCATCGTGGAAAGAAGGAAGGAAGGAAGGAAGGAAGGAAGGAAGGAAGGAAGGAAGGAAGGACTGCTTCACAGTGTTTTCCAGCCCACTCTAAGCAGTTTACAGAGCCTCTTGCCCCCAACAATCTGGGCCCTCATTTTACCCACCTCGGAAGGAGGGAAGGCTGAGTCAACCTTGAGCCTGGTGGGATTCGAACTGCCAAATTGCAGGCAGCTGGCAGTCAGCAGAAGGAGCCTGCAGTACTGCATTCTAACCGCTGTGCCACTGCGGCTTATAGAGAGGATACCAAAGGGCCACTTAGGGCCATTTGGTCACCCCTCTGGGCCATGATGTGCTCACTGGGGTTACTGAATAGACCAGCCATGGACAAATCCAGGCACAGCCGCCTCCATGGAGTGCAGCGTTTCCCAATCTTGGCAACTTTTAAGACATGTGGACTTCGACTGCCATGATTGCCCACCCAGCATCCAAATGCCACATCTTAAAAAGATGCCAAGGTTGGGAAACCCTGATGGAACAGATTTGTCTACAAGCCAGCGCCTTCCTGATCTTGGACTGAAATAAAAGTCTGACTGGCACAATCTGGGCATTACTGCCTATCCATCGGAAGGGGGCCCAGAGGCAGCTTAAGGGCTCTGCTGCACCGGGAGTCCATCGGCTGCTCGAGGTGGGTATCTTAGAGCGGGGGTGTCCAGTTCAATTTCATCAGGGCTGTGGTTGACCTCGGGGGGTGGGACCTCGACTGGGCGGGCATGGCCAGCTTGACGCCACTCCCCAAGCTGCGTGGGTCATGTGTGATGACCCAAGGGGGCGTGGCACAAAAGCAACAAAGTCACAGAATTAGGTCAAGTCCCTTTAATTCGTCCAACTTGCCCCCCAATATCCAGTTATCATCGGCTGGAGAAAAAGCTCCCCCAAGAACAGTTTTTGAAGGGAAGAAATTCCACCCGAAGCCAAAGTACATCTAGATTATATATAAAAACCAACACAAACCACCAGCTGCAGCAATTAACGAGACAGGGCAGGACAAGGAATTGCAGACTTCAAAACAAAATGAAACACACACCTTTGGGAGGACGCTGGAACCCAGATAAGACATGACAAACAAAGATAATTCACACTTTGCTTCCAGAAAAGTGCTGTGCACAAATGTTCTTTTTAAATCCTGTTTTCCCAGCTGCAGCTAATGAAATCAGGGCCTTTTCCTCCCCCGTCACGCACGTAACTCACGTTTCAAGTGGCCCTGGGTCCTCCTCTGAATGCCCAGCTGGACTGTGCCCTTCCCCAGTTTCCTCCACAGCCCCCGGAGCCCCACTCCCATTCCCTGTC